TCAAGTCATTTAAAAAGATTTAATCTTATATCACTTTGTTAAACAAGTGCAATACATGTTAAACTCAGAATTATTCAAATCTAAATAAAATAATAAAATAAAAATAAATAGCATTCTACTGCTCTTAGCTTGTATTCACCTTAAAATGTACTCCATTTAATCATTTTCTCTAAAACTAGAACTGTATATAATATACTGTTTTATTTAAAACCGTTTTATTTTTTCTCCACATTGTCCTTTTAAAAAGAAAGTTGTTAATGAGCTCTGCTGCAGTTTTTTAAAGTCTTGCGGGTATAATGCTGCTATCAATGAGACCAGACCGCAATAAAGAATGTCACCAAAGCTCTTTTGCAAGTGTGAAATATAAAATGTGGAGGCTCTTAAAACGCAGAGACAAAAAGTCTGATGAAAATTGTTCTGAACTTATATACACTATGAAATACAGTCTTATTAAAGCTTCAAGGCGAACAGACTAATAAGCTTCCCCAATTATTCATTTTTTTAACCATACAAAAAAGATTGTGACGCTTGTGTACATATTCGCTCTGTAAGTGCAAGCACCCCCCTTTCATCTAGACACCTATTAGAAAATGAATTCCTACACTAACTGTTTGTGTTAGCAGTAAACTTCTCCAGCGGAGAAGTCTGACCAGAACCCTCTTCCCCCCGCCCTGTGTCATAATCACCCCTGGTCTTCAGTTCTATCAACATGTGGCACATGTCCTTGACACACTCAGCAAACTCTATGCACGGCTCATTTCCCTCACCTCTCCCTCTCTCTCTTTTAATATGAGGTTGCCTGGTAAAGAAGCTGGAATCTAATAACGGTGACAGTGGGGCTGTTTTGTTATTGTTCCCTCAATCTCAGACAGAGAGACTGCACGGACATTAATGAAATGGATAGACACAGAACAAAAACAGAGGCATTTCTTTTAAAAAAAGCTACACAAATAATATATATTGGAACATGCTACAATTGAGAACAAGAGTAACTGTGAGTGTCGATATGCATTATTGTTTAAAGTTCTTGCCTGTGTGTGCGTAAACCTGTTTGACTTTCCAATTCTACAGATGCTGATAGGAATTGTAGCATTAATGTTAGGGTCAGAGAAAGAAAAAGAGAGTGGGACTGATGAGACTGATGGTAAAAGAAGAACGGGACGCATGTCTCGTCTTGTGCATCGCTGCTGTGACTGCATTAGTGGAATGCTACAGTCACATGAAAGAGCTCTCTGAGAAGCAGCATTTCTGTCTACTCAAAAGCTGCACTGTCCCCCTTTCTGCATACACACACTCACATACACACACAAACACTTGAACACTATTATTTATCAACACACCTAGTGTGTAAATGAACTTTCAGCATAGAAAATCACTGAGAACTTTAGAGGGGTAGTTTGTAATAAATGAATGATACTAAATCATAGTTTTCTCACAAATTGGCCAATGTTCTTCTAATAAAGGTCACTAAGTAAATTCCACAACGTTAATGTATAATAAAGAGTCTCAAACGTCTACAAAATGAGTTATAGAAACAGATTCATTTTAGATTTTAAGATGAACATAAGTGAACTCAAAGCTTGAATGGAAAGCATTTTCATATCTAGATTAATTCTTAAAATTACTGACATGTATTTTATGTACACACAATACCTTAGTTGTCTTGCCATATCTGATCAGTACTCCAGTCCAAGACTGTTCTGAAGTGACAGTTTTTAATCAAACCTTTCCTCTTCACAGGGTTTTTAAACAGATCTATCCTTGCTTTTTTTATGAAGAGGCAAATGCTATAAATGAAATACCCTCTTTTTTCCAGCATATTCTGTACATACGGTATAATGTGAAACATCTTATTCTGTAGTACCTCCTTATAAACTATAAAAAATAAATCACCCACAATAATCATACACCTCCCCACTGAGTACTTTAGTCACTGTGAGGCTTCTGTTTTGTGCTAGCTTGTAGATCCACAACAACCCCAACCCAGCTCGCTTTATTCTATGAAAAGAAGTGAATTATTGTCTTAGTTCTTTAAGAGAGCAGAGGTTACCCTTAAACTATCATTTCCTCAGGTCATCAATCCAGGTCTAGCAGCTGACACACTCGAGCATTTCTGTTTTACCTCAACATTTACAGCTATTCCGCAACACAATACTCTTGGCAATGAATCACAGAAATACAACAGCGAGCACATACTCTTGTGAAAAAAATCATCTAATTTGCTGTTTTTTTTTTTTTTTTTAAGTGTTTATGTTGGAAACTTTATTGATGATGGTCTGTTTATTTTGTGCACAAAAGCACAAAACCTCAAAGCCAAATAATAATAATAATAATGTTGTCACAACAGAAATAACACAATTTATGTAAGCTGTCATCTCTGATTTTACTCAAATGATTTCTCTGATTTCTTGTTTCCTGCTAAATTCATAAATGATCTTTCAAAACACCACTGATCTAACTGATCAGAGGCTGCATTAGCAAATATAGGGTAAAACACCTAATAAAAAACAAAGCCTAATTATTTCAGCATGCTCTCTTTACTGTACTGCCTTTTTTCCCAACAGCTAAAATCTTTGTAAAACTTTACAATGAAGTTCCAGTAGTTATTGTTAGCTAATGTGTTTACTTTCATAAACAAACAATGATCAATGATATTTATTACATTATTTATTCATCTTTATTTACACTAATTAATGAACGTGAAGTTATTCCTGTTAACTTACAGTGCATTAACTCATTTTAACAAGCACAACTAAGTATTTTAATAATGCATTGGTAAATGTTGTTAGTAAAAACCATTTTGTTGTAAAGTGTGACCATGAATTGTTTTGTTTGTTTGTTTGTTTAGTTATAAATACAATGTAAAATAATTCATTTATATTTCTGGTTTCAATAAATTACCAAGACGGTAGCATATGACAAGAATCCACAGACTGATAAAGAAAGAGAAAATCATTTTTAAAAAGCTGGTCTTTTCAAACACATGTTCTGTTTTGTAAGTGTCATGGCCAACCTGTCGTACCTCTCACCCCATCCACACATAACAAATCATTTCTCGATCATGGTGGACATGGATCACAGTTTTAGCAGAGCAAATTCTTGCTGCATTTTCCATTGTTTCCTCATTTAGGTAGCATAGTCGTATGAGGCTTTTGTTTTTTTGTTTTTTTGACAATGAGCACATTACTGTTTTTATTGTTGATTTATATTGTTTGATTACTACTTTTATTAATAATAATAATACTTTTTTGCAGTCCTACATTTATACTCATGCAGAACAGAAACTTTGACATTTTTACAACTGTCACGATCTGAAAGGTTCAAGAGATCTGGAGATCAAATGAGCAGTGTGTGTGTGTGTGTGTGCGCGCGTGTGTGTGTGTGTGTGTGTGAGTGTGTGTGTGTGTGTGGTGAGTAGGCAGAGGGTCAGAGAACACAGGGCTAAGTGGACCTGCTCTTCATTAAGACAATGTCTCCGGGGGACGTCACTAGGGCTACCTGTCCGTGCGCTTATTGAACCGTCTAACCATCATCTACCCTCTTACTCTGCCAGAGTCCCTGGAGAATCACACCAGCACAGCTGACAAGTTCAGCCTTAGACTGCGCCTGCAACATGAAAGTACCTCTTCATTTTACCTCCTCCTTCGTTTTTTCACACACCCTTTCATTTCTCCTAAACTCCTTCCCTAAACCTATGCTTTATTTTTTTAGGAAAAAAGGAGATGAGACTGAGAAAGACAAAGAGGAAGAGAGAGGGGAGGATAGAGATAGAGATGGGGGACATAACTGCGTTTGACTTCTGACATGGAGCAGATGAAATGTTAAGTGTCCAGACAAGTCCGGGGAGCCGTGCAGATAAAAGTCATCAAATGACACTCTTGGAATGCAAATTGGCATTCTTGACTGCAGTGCTTGAACAATTGTGCCCCATCACAGACAACCACTGAGATTAGGGGGGAGAAAAAAAAAAGAATAATTTAAAGCGGCAAAGTCATTAAACCTTAAGTAGAGGAACAGGAAGATTTTCCCCCTAGTAGTATATACTCTATTCAGCGATATCCCCTCCTTGCTTCGCTGTTCTCTGAAAGTGAAATGCCTCAGTGTTCACCTGCGCTTGTAAATCATTTTCCCTCATTTTAGCAAAGTGAAATAAATGAATGATAGAGAATAATAGAAAATACTGTAATTGTCTGTAATGAGTTTATAAAATAAAGTTTTTGTTTGAATTAATTGTAGGTGCTCAGCTGATTAATACATTCAAAATGAATCATGATGATTGTTGTTGGTTAAAAACGATTAAAAAGTTTTTTTTATTTTTTAGAGCGATGGATAATATTATTGTGTAATTCATAAACTATGGGTGCATTTATGAAATTTTATTTCATAAGGAAGTCATGATGCTTTTTATCTTTTAAAAGATTATTAGAATATTATTTCAAGATTTATAAGGCTATATTACATTAAGAATGGGCTATTTTAATAGTTTTATTATTGCATGTTTTTTATCTGTTTATTACTGACTGTTGTACTTAAGTATAACAAACAAACAAAATTGCCACAGATGAAATTTATCTAAATGTGTTTACAGTTTTCAAATGACCATTTTGGATTTTTGATTAATATAGCTAATTTTAAATATTTTTTTCTTTTACACAAAAGCGACTTTGTGCAATCAGTTTATGTGTGTTTATTTAGATGTACAATAATAAGGAAATATTGAGATACAGGTAAAGCAGTTTATCTTTACCTTTAGTATGTAAACATGCTGATGGCGGTTGATTTTCTCATTAGTCCCAACTAACTAAACATTTTTCGGAAACTTTTAGTCTAAGCCTTTTAGAGACAATACCGCCTAACAGATTTACGCTCATTTATTTACAACTTTTAGGACTTGTGACAATTGAATTGCACGTGACGTAATGATTACATATTGAGCGTTACAATAATGTTTGTTAATGCCATTAATGTAAAGTGTTCGTGTGTTGTTCGGTCATACTCACCATTTCTTCATATTGTGAGAATGGCTAAATGAAGTTCAGTCAGATCTCGCCCTCATGTGGGGGGACTCTATCCTCTTCCCTCTCCTCTTCTTTACGCAAATCTCACTAAACTCGCTCAAAACTTTATGTTTGTCCGCTCACTTTTTTAAGCGATTAAAATATTAGGATCAAAAACGGCAGCAGTCCGTCATCGTTAGGAAAAGAAACAACACTGATAAAAAACGGAATCACTACGCTCTCGTCATTCGCATGTACCGGGTCTCTGAAAAGAGAAAGAAGCCCGTTGGCTGAAATATTAGCTATTCGGTGGATCAAGAAGCCCAGCGCTGGTTCCGCTGTTCCAGGTCCGCTCGTATGAGCCACTCCACCGGGACCGAAGCGGGACAGAAGCGGGACTAAAGTGGGTGGGTAGTTTGAAGCAGCGGGGTAAATCTCTGGCTGTCCGGGAAGAGAAAACTGACTGTCTTACTCACTCCCGGCTATTTCTTCTGCATAGTCAGCTCTCTCTGACTGCTGCATTACATCCAAAGGAACGTGGTAATATATTTTAGTCTTGTGTAGTTGGTAGTGCATTACCTTCTAGAGGAGTTGATCATTTATTAAAATATTGCAAATTGTGCTGATTATCTTATTATCTAATTAGATTTTTTTCAATCTTCTAGTCTGTTCAGTAATATAGTTTAGCCTACTTTAGGTAGGGTATTATATAGGCTAACATAGAAAGTGTTTCTTCCTTTGCCTTTTTTTCTTTTTCTTTTTTCTTTTTTTTTACATTTCTAAACAGAAAAAAAAAACTTTAAAAGATATCACAGGATCTGACTTGTTCGCTTACTTTACAACAAATGGGCAGAACACTGTTGGATTTTTTAGTGCTGTGTAAATCAAAGATTTTTTTAATGACTTTAAATAATTTTTTTTTCTTCATCAGCCCTGCTTTTAAATGCTTTAATGTCAGTTAAATGAGAGTCCCCTGAAAACACACATAGGCTTGTGTGCATATACACACGCACACACATACACACACATGCACGCAAACCCATACACACACACAAATCTCTAAGATATTTTGCTTTAGAGATGTTTGAGGACACTGATTTCCTATATTTCTTCAAAACTTGTGTCCCCAGACTGTCTGAACAGAGCGCTTATAAATGTTTAATTATGGACTTGTTTCGTTTTTTCTTACAGTGCGCACTGAGCTTGATTCTCAAGAGTGAAGGATGAGGAAAGTCAAATGACAGACTTCTCCTTTGGACCAATAGAAGCCCCTAAATCCCAAGGCAGTCATTTTGATCAAGCTGAGTGCCTACAAGCCCCACTCACATGTTTGGTCAAGAGGTAAATAATAGATCAGGGATTAAACTTGTGTAGAATTCGTTCTAGGGTAACAAGCTACACACTCCCAGGATATGCATATTCATCTGATGTGCAAGGCCATGGCAGAGTAAATACCATATGCCCAGTAGTTAGAGAGCTTAAATCCCTAATTGAATGAGATATTACTGTACATTGCTCTCTGATATTAAACAACAGAACAGAGAAAATAGACCTTTAAAGAATTATGAGTAATGGATATTAGTATGTTCACTTGGGTTCAGTTTCCTAGCATAAAATGCTACAAATAAGTAAGTCTGTGTCTGATATTTCATAGAACTTTTAGCTTGTAGACGTGGCTTCTTGCATATTGTATATTTTTTGTTTTTATTCTTTTGATTTCACTGAATAAATGCAATCAATTAAGCATTCTCATCAAGTGGCAAGCCATCATCTAAGGGCAATGAACAAGTGGCGTCCACTAGTTATGAGCTCAGCAGCTTGACTCCTTTATTTGCTCAAGAAAAACATGACATTAAAGCGGCTTCCTTCCTGAAATCAGCTGCGAAAAGCCACCTGTGGGACCAGAGTATAAGTATTGGTTTATGTCAGACCCCTTCCAATTGTCTAATTACTCAAAGGGCAGTTGATGATGAGCTATTGAACCTTCTACCGGTTTTGGTCCTTTGGGAGGGTCATCAGCTGTCATAGACTGTGTGTCTGTTCAATAAATGCCACACGTATTTCCTGTTTATGGGCACTCAGGAAAATGTCAAGCTAATGGTGTCGCTTGACTTAGGAGAGGAGGCCACGTGCTCTTCACTACTCTCACCATCCACCCACAATATGGAAGTCATTTTAACCATTGATTTCTTCTCTTGTGTAAACTTTCCACACATAGCAGGAACACTAATTCACAGTGGAAGGAAACAAAGTACATACTTGTTAGCTTCACTCTCGATGCCATACTTTCACATGATAATGGCCATGGACACCTCTTAGCACACATTCATAAGCATAAACAAAAACAAAGAAGTGAAAAGGTTCACTGTGTTTGCCAGGGGCTTACATTATTTGAGCAGCATGATCCTCTCAGGGGAAATCTGATACAGCCTGTAGGGGAACCACTTCACTCCTCTTTCCCACAATTCAACAGAGACACATGGGGCAAGCATTGCTCCCTCCACCCCGCTGGCTCCCCTTTCTCCCTCCATCGCCCACAGGAAGAGAGCCCTCTTATCAATCCCCTCATTATCCGAACCCACTGCTTGCTGAAGACAGTTAGAAGGTCATCAGATGGAGCCAGAGACTCATGCACTGGGGACAAATGCTCAACAGTGGAGCTTGTCCTGGGATGCGGAGCATTCTGTGGGAGCTTGGGGTGTGTTGCATGCAGGCGGATGGCCGCGTGATGACAGGTTTGCCGATGGGAAAGTGGAGAGATGCAGCTTTGTAGGTTGAAAGACATGGTACAGAATAAATGACTAACTGCCACTGCTGGTGGTTTTTATAAAGGCCTTATGTTCACCTAATATCCATTATGTATCATATACTGTAATAAATGCTTACTACGTGGCGTTACCCTAAACCCAAACCTCTCAGGAACCTTGCATGTGGCACATTTTGAAAGAGTAAAAAACCTTGTTAAGTAAAAATTAAGATGCTTTAAATTATGAAGACAGAAAGCATGTCACATTCATGTCATTATACAAATGTGTGTCCTCATAAATAACATAAACAAGCATAAACAAATGATTATATATGGTTATGCATATCATTTCTATGTAACAATAATAGAAAAGACAGATATCAGTTGAGACAAAACACTGGTTTATAGACATGCTGAGGTAAGTTCAAGTCTAATGAGTGAACAGATGATTCGATTCAGATGATGGTGGAGATTGTGGATTCAATGGAGGAGATGGTTTAAACATATTTCTTAAACAATGATGATGGAGACAAAAGTAGAGGACATAGCTAGTATATTAATATTAAAATATTAATTGCTGGAAGTAGGTCTATAGTCCATCAAGTAGACCAGAGAGTGAGGGACTAGGAAGTGTTGTACTGTATACAGGTGCTGATGAGCGTGTTGATGAGGTGCAGGTGCAGGTGATTAGTATTCTGAGGATTGTGATTGTAGTGAGGTGGTGATTCTATGACAGTTGCCCAAGCTTAACATTAACCCCTAATTTATTAGATTATCTCAAGTCTCAGAATGGTTTTTTATATATTTATTTAATTTTTAAAGTATTTATATTGAAATTGAACTGAATGACAGATTCACAGTGTGACTGAATGGAAATGAGCATAAATGTTGTAGTTTGTTCTTCACCATAATTATAACTTTTGTTTGGAATGTTAAGAATTTTGACAACTTAAAAAATATAATTAGCAGATTTTTTTTAAACTGAAAGCTGAGAGCAACAATTGCAGAATGAATAGTAAGCTATCATCTGCTCATTTGTGCTGCATGACCAAAGCAAAAATTAAATACTTGAATTCATGACACAGCCTTGATCTCCATCAAGCTCTCTGTGGCTCGTATGCACAGATATCATACTTCTGTGACAAGTCATTGACTAGCCAGGTTAATTCTCACGTTTAATTGTATTTATAGCTCCTAGCTCAATAAAACAGGCTGTGTGACTATAGGGAATAATTAAAATGTGTGTCAGTAAGCAGATTTAAGGGAATTTATTTAAATGAATGCATACACTTCTTTTGATATTGCTTGCATTTCAGTGATTATACCATTGTGTGCCAAAGCTGGCAGCCTGGCACATGTGCGATATGTTGCTGACCCCTGGCTCACATAAATGTTTAGAATTGTTTTAATATAGTTTTGATGTTGTTGTTTTTACATTTATTTGTTGTTTGTATTGCCTGCTGTAGCTGGATGTGTAATTGTTTCATTGTTCACATCTATAGTTACACTGTTCGCTGTACTCATTAAAGCACTCTAAGACTCAATTTGTTATGAAATGAAAGTTGTGATAATCTTTTCCTATACTATGGAATATATATTTATATATTAATAAAACTGCTTTTCACTCCACTTCCATGGCATGACTTGAGTTTAGTCCAAATGATTGGATTGTTGTGATTTGCTGTTGTGATCACATGTGAGTGGCAAGTTTACCTGCTTTTGCACCAGCCACTAAAACAAAAAAACAGAGAAACAAAACAGGAATAAACTTTTGATTATGAAGGGTACAATATTATAAATGCACACAAATAAAATAATACCAATTATTAACAATAAATATTTCAATGTTCCAAGATTTAAAATGGTGATGCGGTTGCACAGTGGCTAGCGATGTTGCCTCGCATCAAGAAGATAGCTGATTTGTGCCTTGGCTGGATCAGTTGCCATTTCTGTGTGGAGTTTGCATGTTCTCCCCATGTTCACGTGGGTTTCCTCTGGGTGCTCCGGTTTTCCCTTAAAGACATGTGGTATAGGTGAATTTGATAAGCTAAAATTGTCAGTTGGGTATGAGTGTGTATGGATGTTTTCCAGTGATGGGCTGCAGCTGAAAGGGCATCTGCTGCTTAAACATATGCTGGATAAGTTGGCGGTTCATTATGCTGCAGTACCCGCAGATTAATGAAGGGACTAAACCGAAAAGAAAATGATTGAATGAATGAAGATTGAAGAATTGCCAATTGGTTGTAAATTAAAATGCACTGCGAATACATAGCCTTAAAAAAAAAAAAAAAATGCTACAAATACCATAAACGGATTACAATTAAAACACTAACAACCAGATATAAATGAATATGTATATATATATATATATATATATATATATATATATATATATATATATATATATAAAGTAGAACCCTTATTATACTTCAATTCTATTATTACACTTGATTATCACTTTTTTTTGGTTGACACTTTTTATATGCACATCCTCATTTTTATACATTTAAATATTCCAAATATTCCTTGGTTACATTTTAAGATAAAACAATGTGTGTGGGTAGATAGATAGCATAAAATTCCCTTTCCTTTTTTAAAACCAATATCCTGAGGCACATGTACTGTCAGAATCAAGTTTAAGGCACATTATCTACATTATCTCGACTGAATTTACTCACCCACATATTCATCCTTGGGGAAATGATACTGTGTGCTTCTCTTTATAATGTATCTCATTTCCATTCCAAAGTGACACTGCCAGGTTTGCAGCTAGCATGTCTACAAAGTGAGAGTCTTGTATGTTTTTAGAACATTATAAAGCATGTCTTTTTCCTGTCCTCTTTATCAAAGGTAAACGCACAGCAGCAGATGACAGTCCCCGTACCTCAAATTGCAGGCGGAGAACCGGGGTTTTCCCAATCCTCTGTGGTGAAATACTTCCCGTGCTCTGCCTACTCAGCTCACCGAGGGATTGTCGACGCTTCCTGATTTCATGTGCAGCACGGTGATTCGGTTGTGAATACATCTCTGTTTCTCAGTGACACAAAGAAGGAGGAACAGATGAGTTAAATGGAATAATTTCGTTTTACATCACATCAGAAATACTAGCATAATGGCAAAGAGGATAGATGGAATCATCATTCATCAAGCTAGGGGTTCATGTTCTAGTCATAATGTTCTTGAAACTGAAGACTCATTCTCACTATTAAAGCAAAAAACAATAAACCAATTGGTTGATTAAAAGAAATTAATTCTTAAAAGCAACCTGTTTATCATTTATAAGAAACTGAAATGAATATTTAGTAACATTGTGGATATATGTGTGTGGTCTGAAAGAAATAATGTGTTGAATAATCTAAATTAAGACAACTCATAGATCATCCTTTTTATTTTTTAATAAATTATAAATAATTTATACAATTTGTTTATTTTATTTGTTGTTTTCGGACCAGATAAAAAAAACTGGAAAAACAGTACATTTATTTCCCACTTGAGCAACATTTGCGTGGTTTTCTGTTGTTCTGAACTTTTTACAGGCCTTAAGGGTTGTAAATGGAGCATGTTACATTTGTGACGTTTGGCCGCTGTTGGAGGCTGTAGAACAGAAACTGATATTAGTGCCAGAGAGAGCATGTAAAATCACATTCGGAATGGATGACTGGTAACTATCAGTGGTAAACAAAGGGCTTTGTTGGGCAAAAAAGAAAAAGTTGATTCAAAAGTGCCATGTGTCTCTGTTCCTAAAAGGGGCAGATGTTGCAAATTACCAGCCAGTCTACTGCCTCTGAAATCGCAGCTCAAATGAGCATCCTAATGAGAGGCACTGTTTGCGGGTCAGAGAAAAGCCTAATCACGCTAAGTCAATTGACTTCTTCTGGAGCAAGAGAGCATGCAAGCTCCAAAGCAGATGACCTGCTGTCTGTTGCACTCCTGCAACCTCCTTTATATCTGTCTAATCTTGTTTCTGTGGTTTTAATCATCTAGCCTTTTGACTATGATATGACTCTAGCCAACAAGGACAGGCACAGTTGTTTAGATACCATTATACAACCATTATGCAATGAAAAAAATTATATGTGAGCGTATGATAATTTACATCGTTTACAACAAGATAAACAACCAGGGTAGACTCTAAAAGAGCTTCATTTCTAAATAGGTACATTGAGAAATATGTATTTAACTTTAGGCTAAATCAAGAGAAAGAGTGTCACAAACCTGGAGTAATTAGAGGTTATGAGGGATATGAGCAAGAGATACAGGAGGAATTTACATTTTCAAAATATGTTTGCAAATGTAGTTTATTATTTATATTAATTCTACGGTGGTGGAGAGAGTTCAACGTGCTTCACTTTAAGAAAACACGTGCAATTACAAAAACGCCAGAAAACTGAGAAAAGATCTTCATCTGTTTGACAGCACACATGCTGCAAATCCTCACAAAGCAAAAACATTTTTAAAAAATGCGCTGCATTTTTTACACAACTCAAACAAATTATTAAAATGCACCGCATTGTCTTACAATGCAAACATTTTATGAAAAACGCACTGCATTTTCTTACAAAAAGAACGGAATATGGCTCAAATGTTTTAAGGGGACCGAAAAACGTAACGGACGCCGCTGTGCCCTGACTATTGCTCAGTGAAGTTGTAGATGATCTTTAAAAGTTGAGCTTTTTGGTTTATTTTAATATCTCGATTCCATTGTCTTTAGTAATTATTTGGCTAAATAATTATAACATAAATAATTAACTCCGTGGTGTTCTGAATAATTTTAAAATTAACGCATCGTGTTTTTGTAAAAATGTTTGCATTTTGAGATAAAGCAGCGCGTTTTAATAATTTGTTTGCGTTATAAGAAAATGCAGCGCGTTTTTTAAAAATGTGTTTGCATTGTGAGGATTTGCTGCACGTTTGCTGTCAAACAGATGAAGATCTTTTCTCAATTAGCCTTCGCTTTTTGTAATTGCACTTTTCTTAAATTGCAGCACGTTAAGCTCTCTCAGCCACCGTAGAATTCACAAATAGCACTCTTCAAAGATAAGATATGGTTATGAATTATAAATTGCCGAAGATCTACGTTCTACATACACTATATTATGTGTCTATATGTAACAATATTATTTGGAGAGAAAAAAACCCTACATTTTATGCTAATGAGCTTGAGGTTACACTTCAGTGTAACACTTTACAATAAGGGTGTTTTAGTTAATGCTAGTTGACATGATTTAATGGTGAACAACACAACTGTTAAGCATTTCTTGATCTTTGCTAATGTTAATTAAACAAATAGCGAACAATGACTAAATTTTTCAGCATTACATAATCGTTGTCAGCGACTCATATTTTAATGCATTTCTATACAATAGTTAATGTGTTAGTTGACTTATACAAATGTTAGTAACATATTAGATAATATTGAAGCAGTGTACACTACAATAATGTTCATAATTATATGAACATGCTTTGTTAATGATAAATCATTTTAGTAACATTAATTAGTTAGATCGGGTTTAGAATTGCTTAATAAATGTGTTGTTCATTGTCAGGTCTTGCTATCTAGTCCATAGACAAATTTGCATTTGTGCATGTGTAAGTAAACATCACCTAATTATAAATTAAATATATTAAATGTAAAGTGGTGCATTAGAATATAAGTAAGATAACATGAACAAAGATTATGTAATGCTGAATTATCGTTTTCAGTAGTTTATGTAAATTAATGTATTGACACATTAATATGTTTAGTTACATTAACATCGACATAGTAGGCCTTATACCTGCTCACCTGATGTTAATTCATGTTAACTTTAAATAACTTTTAATAACCCTATAAATAACCCTTAATTAATTAAAACAGCCATATTGTAAAGTGTTATCACTTAGCTACAGAGGAGTTACTATCCTGCATTAATAGCTACACACATACACATAGCCTACATTTATTTTGCAATACATATTAATATTTTCTATGCATATTATATTGCTGACCAAGTCCCTCGGTCAAGATACAAGCAGTGGGGTGATTGTTCTTTTGCAGTGGCAAGTCCTAAACTCTGACCTGCCACTTTTTAAGCTTAAGACCCACATGTTTAAATTGGGTTTTAATGCATACCACTGACACTTTGTTATGTTTTAAAGTTTTTGTATTTTATTGATATTTTTGTATTGTTTTGCATTGTCTGCTTTTTTTTGTTGTGCTTGTGTTGTATAATTTGCTTTTACTTGTGTAAAGCAATTTGGTCTACCTTGGTTGTAGTAAAGTGCTATAAAATATAAATAAAACGATTAATTGATTGATTGATTGATTGATTGATTGATTGATTGATTTATTGATTGATTGATTGATTGATTGATTGATTGATTGAATATTTTTACCATAATTGTAGAGGAAAAGAAAGAAAGAAAGAAAGAAAGAAAGAAAGAACGTAAGAAAGAAAGAAAGAAAGAAAGAAAGAAAGAAAGAAAGAAAGAAAGAAAGAAAAAAGAAAGAAAGAACAGAGGAATTTCGCATTAATTACATTAATTTAATATAGTATTATTCTGTAGCTACAGTTTCTGTAGCTTTTACTGTGGTTGGAATTAAAAAAATGTTTGCTTTGTTCTGCAAAGGGTGACTCTTATTGACATAAATTACAACAGTTCTGTTAATTAGTACCATGTTCTGTGTATTGTACTGATAGCACGAAAAATATCAACAAAGCCACATTTAAATGAATGATGGCCTTAGGGATCTCTATAGTCGAGACTGGCGTACCGTAAAGCGCTTCAGGGTGTCGTGAAGTGTGGTAAACAGCTCTGTACCAAAACACGGAACTGGCGCGAGCATTTGAAAAAGACAAGGCATTTGATCGTGTTTTCGCTTTTACGAGGTATGTCTAATCTTTTTTTTTTCTTTTAAACCTCTGATGAAAACACGCTGTCAGATGCGACAAGAACGGAGCTTTATTTACATCGCAGATCAGTACTTTAGATAAACTTCAGCCGTATCCAAGGACGCACGGCTGCAGGTCAGACATAACGCACTAACTACATTTAACTTAAATGAGCAATTCTTTTGGTTTATTAAATATTTTGTTTAACGACTTCTTTGTTTCTTTCTTATTAAAGATGTTTAATGCCATATAGATGTAGTCGGTCATATGTTGTAATACGTTTTAGTGTCTTTTATGTCCGATTGCTGTATTGAGTGAGTTTATTGAGCTTTGACACAATATCGATGGAGAATAATCCTATGGGTTTTTATGTTTGTATTTATTCACTGTTTTTTTTTTACTCATTGGCACGATTTTTAGTATAGCTGTCATCATTTAAGACTTAACGTTACGTGTGCTGTCAAGATTTGAATGCTGTCTATCTGTCTGTCTGTCTGTCTAACTTATCTATCTATCTATCTATCTATCTATCTATCTATCTATCTATCTATCTATCTATCTATCTATCTGTCTGTCTGTCTGTCTGTCTGTCTGTCTGTCTGTCTGTCTGTCTGTCTGTCTGTCTGTCTGTCTGTCTTTACACATTTAGTCATAACAGGTATATAACAAATATGTCTTCTGTCAGGATCTCAATGGATTCCGAAGACAATGAACGTGTTTTACTTCTTAAGGAAAAGCTGATGAGTTTATCTGAAGAACTTGCTCAGTGCCAGGTATATTATGCCATTCGTTTATCAATTCTTTTTCAGTTGTCTAGTTCATCTCTTTTATCTCATTTTAGGGTTTTAGTGATGATGCTTCTCAAAGTATTTTTTTTCTAAGTGTGCTAAATTGTAAAAGTAACAAAATATACCATATAACCTACTGTAGTATATGAGCATCAAATTGAGTAAAAACAACATATGCATAAATGTGTTTTTAGAAACATACAATATACTAACCTGTCATGTAGCTACTGTAAGGTGAAGTTGGCCTACATATTAGTTTTTATATCTATCTGCTATGGCAGCGATGAAGATGCATGGGCATTAATATGCCTTACTGTAACATTGTAACAAATGTGGACATGTCAATGGGCTCAAACAGCTTGCCCTTTACGGCAGCTGAATGCCTGTTGTGAACTAAATATGATGTTTATTTACAATAATAAATCCTAAAATTATGTAAATTCTACAATTAGTCATCATGGCATTATGGCTCTCTCGCTCTCTGCAGACTTATGAAATCAGTGTTGTAAATAAGGGAAAGAAAGATTTATCAAAATAAGCATGCTCAGATAAAGTATAGATACTTAACACAATTGCACAATGATATATAGAATATCTTATTGCTGTCTTCTAATTATTTAGATATTGTTAGATTTGTAGCATTTTTGTGTCAATGTATTGTGATCATGAACAAGCAAAATGTTAAATTTTTTTGGCACTTCAATATACCATGAATAATTAGTTGTTGCTTATACTTTTATAGTGCTTTTTTAAAAAAAAATGAGAGTGATGCAGTGATGTTCTTAATTGTTTAGCCTAATAGTTCAGACATTAACAATTTCACATGCTAATCTGGCCTGCTATGTGCTATATTGATTGAAAATGATAAAGTGACTATTCATAGTCTATTGCACGCTAGCACTTTACAATAAGTAACACTTTACAACAGTAGTTAATTTAATTAAATTAAATTACTACAAAAGCTTTTATCAATCTAAGCTGATGTAAATTTTCTAGTTAATGCCTAATAACCCATTTAAATCATGGACATAATACAAGTCAAAATCATTAAATAAAGTTAACAATTGTATTTTTGTTCTATTAAAATAGTAACTGTAAATCCATTTTGTACTTTTTGAATTTGTTTAAAACATTTATTTGCTCTGAATATGTATGTAGAAGTAAAGCCTAACTTTTTTCTGCAGCTTATTTCACCATTGTGATAGTACCGCATACCGTAATAAAAGCTTCCGCAGTTAATCGCATCAAAACCGTACAAAGAGAATCCAAGGTCCATCTGATATGCTTTCACAGAATTAAACACTAAACTGATGTGACTCATGCATCCTGCATACTGTTAAATCCCCACCAGGTGGTGCCTAAAAACAAATACCTGCATTGTCAACAGTGTTAGACTTTTAATAATTAAAAGCTAACAGATTTTTTTAGCATATAGCATACTCCAGGACATCAATAAGACACTTGTTACTAATTGAGAAGAGCCTTCAGATACTCAGTAGGTAGCCTTTGCTTACTATACAACAGTATAAGACTTGCGCTGACCTACAATAGGTTTACATCATCAGTGGATGTCGACTGGCTCCATCTAGCATTTTTCTACTTGCCTGCGGTTCACAATTGATTTTTCTCCTTTCCACTTCTAATGACAAGTGTGTATGTATAAAGCATCACGTCTCATTTCTATAGAAGGTGTGCAGTGCCCATCCATCGACTGCCATTAACGGCAAAATGTTTCTAGTGGACCTGAGAATTATCAGGGAGGCAGTTTTACTTTATTAATATTTGTATAAATAGCAACATTCAGAGAGTGCACTCATCCAGTGGGCATTCATGGCCTGCTGTATGAGATAAATAATTCATCAATACGACTGCCTTTCAACATATCAAACACCTTCCATTCCATGAGAAAATCCCTGTAATGTGCAGGAGTTGCTCAATCTTCTGATGTAGTGAGCTTAAGTTCTTGTGAACAGACCACCTATTTGATGGAGGACTTTTCTTAATTTGTCATTATACACAATGAAGACTGGGAACAGTGAGATCTTTATTTCTATTCATTTGCGCAGTCTCTCTCTCTCGCACGCGCTACTTTGTATGTTTAGCCTATGGTCTATCAAGGTCTGCCTGCACCATTTAGTAAATAATTAATTAGACACTTTTGAATAGGGTTTAAAATTCATGTACTAATTGGACACCAGCAGATTCTACAGGGATTTATGACTTTAATCTTATAATGATGTGGACATAATTTAACAGATAATTTTATATTAAGTTGATCTGGTATAATTCAGTTTTTTTTTATTAATGTCAGAAAATGTAGTTTTTAGATGTTTCTCATTAAATGTAATGTAGCTTAAAAATCTTTGAAAGCCATTTTTTTCCTCCCGAAGACACTTTGAATTGTAAGCATGTGCCTCTCTGTTGCCACTTTCTTCTTTATGCGACTAGTCAGTCCAGATTTCTTTCTTTCTTTCTTTCTTTCTTTCTTTCTTTCTTTCTTTCTTTCTTTCTTTCTTTCTTTCTTTCTTTCTTTCTTTCTTTTATTTACAGAATGTTCCACATTTACAGAAAGGTTCCACACAGGCATAATACAACTTAAAAATGTGCATATTAAAACAAATGCAGATTTATGTATTAGTAATATAATGTCTAGTATGGTTAACCCAGAAGTCCACATACTTTAGCCTCCATATTCCAATCATTATCAGTCGGTTCAAAACTACAAATGTTTAATAACATGTAATATTTAAACCTGTAATGAAACATACAAAAGGGGAAACAATTATGTCCATCTATTGGTCTTTTCAAGAATTGTATTATTATGATGACACTGTCTTTATAATTGACTTTGGACAGTTTATATTCTGTGGCCACGAAATTAATTATATAAATGTTAGAGACAGAATTTTGATACAGAAAATAATAAACATGCACAATATAGTATCATGTAATTTTCATAAATTGGTTGATTTGTCAATAATAATAACACTAATAATGCATATCCTTGACCATGTACTGTGCATATATGTGGGAAACATTTGAAAATATAAATAAAAACACTATAGCTGATTAGGTCAATGCTTTGCTGTTATATTTGCTTCTAACAGGCAGACAAGGAGTTTGTGTGGTCACTTTGGAAGCGGCTTCAGGTGGCCAGTCCTGATCTCACCCAGGCTGTGAGTCTTGCTGTGGAAAGGTGAGTCACATTATAAAGTCACATGGACACAATAGCAAATCCTTTCCAAGGATTTTCCCAGTTCTTTTCTACTATTGAATTATTATGCTGTTTCGTTTCTTGACTTGAAATAAATGCTGTTTCTGCCACACGAAATCCCTGATTTGTGAACACACATTGCAGCGGTTCTGCAGGGGTGTGTGTTGGGTGGCTGCGCCGTTGAACACAGTTATGAGAGAACCTGAGAGCAGATGATGATCTAAACCCTCTTATCCTCCGCACAGACTTTCTCTCTCTCTTCTCATCTAAACGCTGAAAAAACTCCTCTTTGAGGGATATACACTAGATTTAACATGACTTATGACCCTCAAAGAGTGGCATGGGAATGTGTTGAAAGGAGAAAAAAAAGAGATCAAATTCGCAATGCCGAATGATTGCCATTGTCATTCCTTCTTTTAGAAGTCTTGATGATGTTAAGCAGATAAAGCAAAATTCGACACTCGGGAGGAAATTGAGACAACTGGCACACTGTTAAAAAAAAGTGTAAAAAAAAAAAAACTCAAATACTTGAGGCAACCAGCTTCAGGGCTTTTTTGAGCTTGCTGAACTTATGGAAAAAATTGGATCAACTTAATTAAAGTTAAAGGTCTGTTCTTTGATCATACACAATATAAGTTCTATGAAGTCTTTTTTAAAACTTCATGTTCAGTCTGCTTGCATTTTAAATTAATATAAACACTGATATTACTCTCTAGTTGTTTACAAAATGTTACTTAGTTTTTTTAGCAAACTGAAAATGTTACTTTAGTTCGCTGAAGCAAGTTATAAGTGTGGCGAAATTAAAATGAAAGGCAGCTTGAGGGGCGGCACTGTCAGCTCACAGCAAGAAGGTTGCTGGTTTGAGTCCGGCTGGTCCACGTGGCATATCTGTGTGGAGTTTGTATTCAAGTTTCCTCTGGGTTTCGATATTGGTGAATTGAATGAACTTAAGTGGTTGTAGTGTATGAGATTGTATGGGTGTTTGCAGCTGGAAGGGCATCTGCTGCATGAAACATGCCAGAGTAGCTGGCAGTTCATCTCGCTGTGACGACCTCTGATAAATCAGGGACTAAGCCAAAGAAAAAATAAATGAATAATGAACATAATGCTTGATTATGCATTAATAACAAATCTTAATAACCCAAAGACATGCTTATAGGTGAATTGAATAAATTAAATTGGGAGTAGTGTATGTGTGAATGTGAGAGTGGATGGGTGTTACCCAGTATTGGGTTGCAGCTGAAAGGGCATCTGCTTTATAAAAAAATATGCCTGATAAGTCGGCAGTTCATTCCGCTATGACAACCTCTTTTAAATCAGGGACTAAGCTGAAGTAAAATGAATGAATAAATGAATTTAATGCTAAAACGTTAATTGTGTATTAATAACAAATATTGGTTGCCATATTCATGCTTAAATAATCCTAAATTATTCTGAATCATTCCTGGACTCTCACTACCAAACCTGGATATTGTTTTAAGTTGATGAAACTTGATTTTTTTAAGTTGATCAGACTAAATGCTCCAACTTAACATGTTCTACACTCACTCATTTTTTGCATTGATGAAAAAGTTACTCTGAGCTAAATTTGTTATATTATAGTATATATTTTTTTAAGTTTTAGCTGTCACTTCTATATTAATTTATTTAACCAACAATAGTCTTGAAGGAATTTTGCCAAAAGTGCATTCATTTTCCACGGTTTCCTCTGTTGATCAATTATTTTTCATATTTTCTTTCTTTGGAATATTTACACTTGTTTTTCAATGACGTCTATTGCTTAAACAAATTACTCAAAGGAACAACATTGACTGTGATTTCATTTTTCGTTCAGTGTCAGATTCATTTCAGTTTAATTTAGTTGCCCTGTCTGTTACCAAATAGCAATAGCAATTGAAAGAGTCATTAAAATGTCCAAACCTTGTTAACAAAATTAAAGTCTTTTCACAAAGAATGTTTTGCTTAAATAGAGAAGAGAATAAATATTACTAAATATAAATATATATTTAAATCTTTTAAAAGAGTTTTAAATTGACTGAATTGATGCTGAAAAAAGAACGGTAATGAATTTATTTGGATAAATATAAAATGATTCTTTCGACTACCTGATGCGAGGTCAGCGATAAGGAGAACTTTTGTGACCGAAATCTGGATCTCAGAAAGTGTGTTCCTTGACACTTGAAGCAATGATAAATAAAAGAGCGGCAGATAGGCTACATGCTCCCATATCACTCACAAGCTCCTTCCTCAGGCGCAGCCAACAAACCGAGCTGCTCCTCAAAGAGCTGGCAACTCGCACCTGAGGCCGTGTGCATATATCAGCATAGCGCCACCCGGGAGATCGACATGATAATTGCGCTGGCTCCGTACAGCACACAGGCTTCTGGGAATTGTGGACGGCCTGGTAGCGAGCGAACGTTTTGGCTTGGGATATGGTTAACATCACCAAGCTTCAAGGCAACAGTGTACTCTGAGGAGAGCTGTATCATGTCAGATGTCCTCAGGGAGAGATGGAATGAGAAAGGGTGGAAGAGATTGAAAAAGTGAACCAGGGAAAGAAGGATCCCAGGTGAGTGGCGGCTGTTCAAACAAACTTGCCCCAATTGTGATTCTTTTGTCTTTTCCCCCCAAACACCCACTAAAGAGGGTTAGATGCTGAAAGGAAAGGAGTGTTTGTGTTCCCTAGTGAGTAGTGTTCCTGTTTTGATATCCTGATAATTACTGATACCTGGAGACTGGAGTTATATCCCATCATTCCCTGTTGACCCTCTGTGGTATAAGCTTAGAGAACGCGCTGAGTGGTTGAAAGGCAATTTTGCCTGTTTTTTCTCCCACAGCATCCAGTCTATCCTACAGTGTTTTATCTCCTAACAGAGCATCAACATTGCATCACCCCAAATAGATTTTCAAATGCGAATGGCTGCAGTGTTCGCTGAGGCCAGTGGATCGGTTTGCCCTCTTCTGTATTCTGTTACTGTGGCTGCCTGCGCCTCTAATTTTGCTCTTTTGTTCAATCTGTGCTGTACTAGAGAGAAGCAGAAGGCTGAGAACAAGGACAGAAAAGTTCTGGAGATCCTTCAAGCAAAAGACTACAGGATCCAAGAGCTGGAGCAGGTACTGTGAGAGCTTTACAACTTAAACTACACCACAGCCACAGGTGTGCAGGCATGCACATGCGGTCTGAGAAACCTTCGTCTCTCCTTTTTTTTAATGAGCGTCTCTGACTGCTTGATAGATCTGCTTGGATGACAGCTAATGATGAAGCCGTGTTGTTAATTCACCTTTAATCATGCCCCTTAATGAAACATCTGTCAGTCGGCTTCATTAGCTGTTCTGTCTCTTCACCAGCAGTGAGTCCGTCAAACGTGTCCACGCATACTCCTCGTTTTTGTAAATAAGATTAGCCATGGCTTGACAACCAATATCAAACCAAACTCGAACCTGCTAAACACTACGCCACGCCACGGTTCCGCCATCGTGACAGCATTATTAATCATAGGCCGATGTGTTGTTTTTTTATAGCAGGAGTTCGCATTTCGTTTGGCAGCACCATAGGTAGGAATAGCTAGATGGCACATTAGCAACTATTGCTAATTAAAGTGATATGTCTACGTGTCTGCCATATTGGAAAGGTCAAGATCTGCTTGTAATTGCAAGGAAGTGAACTGACAGATGTGCTATGCAGCAGGCTGTAACAGTCCCTTCCAATCAATTTTCATAGGATTTGGTTTGTCATAAATGTCAGATGGTTCTGCATGTCGTTGATGATGTTATATTCAAAATCAAAGTACTCTTCATCTGTAGTGCTGAATAGCACAGCCCGATTGAAAGAAGTTTGTATACCATAGTTGAACGTAGAAATTGAAAAACATCCATCATTTATTTTAAATGTAAAATTAAGATCTCCGAACCATCTGGACAAATAAACCAAGGAATTTGTTTGTTTTCTGAAATCTACTTAGTGGGTACTGTATGTGGCTTGGCTAAGTTTACAAATTCTTCACAAAACGTTTAATATGCTTATTTATAACCTAGGGAATAACACCTAGAATGAAATGCTCAGTTTTACCATATTTGGAATGGTTGTGAATATTAAAGAGTTTTTCTGTAATGCTCCTCAGCTTGTTTCAGTACCTCTTTTTCTCTCACACAAACACACACATGATGTACTCTGAAATATGTGTACAAAATAATCATACTTAATTTGTCAAATTGTTGCTTTTAATTGATTAGATGCCTTGTTAAATATATAAAGAAAATCTGAGTATACCTAGGCATAGTTAAATAATAAGAGTTAATGGCTATACCATGAACCTCAAAGACCATTGATTCTTCGTTCTTATGTAAATTCTGCAAGTGTAAAACCCTGGTGAAATCCAGCGCTATCAGAACAGAAATTAGGTTACTCTGGTGGTTTATGTTTGATAACCAACTTGCTACAAGCGAAAAAAGCTAGACCTCTCCACTATGTTAGTTAAAAATCTTTAGATGATCCCAAGATTTCCACAATCTTGGACCAGGCTGTATCCCGAGCAGCTGCTTTGGTGGTCATGGAGGAGTAGAGAAGAGAACATGCATTTGATTCTTGTGAGACTCCAGTGACAGACGAGTCCTCGCTGACGTCCAGCATTCTCCAGCCTCCAGCGCCTAGACTGTAGCTCGGCACAAGACATTTGGCCATAGGAGAATAGGTTGTTCCCAACTGAGCCTGGTTTCCCTCAAGGTTTTTATCCTTTACTTGATAATTGGTAAAGATTTTTCCTCGCCGCTGTCGCCACTGGCTTGCATAGTTCGGGACTTGTAGAGCTGCACATTCATGGATCATTCTTCAGTGTTTGGACTCTCAGCAGTGAATATTAAACCACACTGAACTAACCTGAACTGAACTTAAACTCTAAAACTGAACTAACTGTTTCAATTCACTAAAATCTTCTACGTGAAGCTGCTTTGACACAATCTACATTGTAAAAGAGCCATACAAATTTGAATTGAATTTAACAAGACATCTACTCCCTTTGTTAATTTTTTTTTATTTAGCACATGTTTGAGTGAGTGAGAGAGAGCATTAAAGAGGAGTGGAGAGCAGAGCTTATTAATTTTTACAACCTTACAAATATGGTCATCAAGGTCCTTCTGATTTTAAGGGTATTTTATGGTGTAATAAATGATTATATAAAAAACATTTCTGGAGATGTTTTGAACATACCTAAGCCATATACAAGGGTTGGACAATAAAATTAAAACACTTTCCAATTTAGTATTGAGGTTTCAAGGCTACATATAACTAGCCTGGTGGCCAATCTTTACTGATTGCACAGTCCACCAGTAATAGCTGAGTGTGAAGGTTTAAATAGTAGAGTAATAGCACAGTATGGCTTAAAATGTTTCAATGCACACAACATTATAGGTGACATATCAGACTTTTAAAGGGGACAAATTGTTGGTGCACATCTTGCTGGAGCATCTGGGACCAAGACAGCAAGTCTTTATGATGTATCAAGAGCCACGATATTTAGAGTAATGTCAGCATACCACCAAGAAGGAAGAACAACATCCAACAGGAGTAACTGTGGATGCAGGAGGATGCTGTCTGTATCCAAAAAACATAACTCAATGCAAAATTAAATGTTCACCTTAACTTTCCCGTTTCCACCAAAACGGCCAAATGGCCAAATCACTCATGCCAGTACCAAACATCAGTTTCAATGGTGCCAGCAGCAAAAATCTTGGGCTTGGGACAATATGAAGTATGTATTGTTAGCTGTTGAGTCTACCTTCACTGTCTTTCCCACATCCAGGAGAGTTAATGGTGAGGAGAGTTACGGTGTGGCTCAAAATTTCTCTGGCCACTGTGCAGGACTTGTGCATGTCATTCCCAAGATGAATTGATGCTGTATTGGCCACAAATGGAGGCCCTTTATTGTGGTCTAAAACCAGGTGTTTCAATTTCATTGTCCAACCCCTGTACCTACTATGTAGATATTAGTAAACAATTTAACTTAATTAATAAATCAATGCAGTATGTGTTAGAGGGGTTTGCATTTGCTAGGGGTGAGTGAGCCATCTTTAAACCACCGGAATAACCTAATTTGAACATCTCAGATAACAAATTTGCAAAAGATATGTAAACATTTCAAATAACTTACACATGCTTATTCCGAATATATGTAAAAGACACTCGTCAGATGTTATTTTAAAAAGCAGGCATGAGATTCAGCTGTGTGCTCTTCATTTTCTGTCTGGTTTAGGCTCAAAATGATACGGCAAACAGCTACTCTGACTGACAGTATTTTCTCAGCGCAAAAGCATGTGTTATTAGAAGTGTGATGCTTTTCCTGGTAACATGGAGCCGATCCACAAATTACAGCACATTGTGGTAGCTGAGCAATCAGAGTCCCTTGAGGGTGGGACTTTTAGAGGAACAAGGTAATATGGCAGTCGTTTTCATGTTAGCTGAGTAGCTATATATAATGAAAGTACAATATATGAAAAAAATTACGTGATTTTTTTTTTTTTTACAAATGAAGTATGACCCCACATTTCTTTGCATCTTATAAACATAACCAAGCCTTAAAAATACACTCTGGACCACCCCTTTAAGAAAAGTCGCAGTAAGAGCTGAGTTAAATGATACCATAAATGTGCATTGAACACCAGGGATGAGACAAAACATGCTTATGCCAATATTTCCAGCCACAAGACATTTATTGATACTCTGGAATCAATACTTATTTAACTGTAAAGATTTATTTAAATGTAATGAACTGAATTTATTTATCACAGTCTTGTACTGTGTTCGTTTACTGCTTCAATGCTAGTACACTCAGCCACTTTGAGGTGGTGCTTCCCGTAATGATGAATAAACAACAATTCAGAGATCTGCTTACTTTGTCAGGAATATGGGTTTAAACTGTTTAAGTTAAATTCCACATTTTCGTTTAGATAAAGATAAGCCGGTATTAATAGTTGAACATGAACATATCATTTAAAGGGCCTTCAAACTTTGGCTGAAATTATTAGAAAATTAAAACTTAAAAATTATATCATATTTAAAATGGCTAAAAAAAGACATGTAACAATAAACAGAAGTTGTTTTGATTGCATAGAAAAGAAGTAATAAATAGGATACAGTATATGTCTGCATTGTACTTTAAATATAAGCTAGGATGTTCTAATAATTTTAGGGGGAGTTTTGCATTTTTTGTGCATTGTTGCAATTCTATAAAATATGTGAAGTTAATAAAAGAAATTCATCTTATAACTTTTAGAAGATGCACGAGAGCAAATAACGCCTATTTTGGGAAAAAAAAAAAAAAAACTGCACTGGCTTCCTGTCAGTTTTCAAATTGATTTTAAATTCCTCATGTTAGCGTACTGTACAAGGCCTTGAGTGCTTCAGCACCACAATATTTATCTGAGATTTTAATTCCATACACTCCAAGACAAGCTTTATGCTCGACTCATGCTCAGTCAACGCAGCTAAAATCTATGGGAGACCGGGCACTCTCTTCGTTGTCACCTGTTTTGTGGAACTCTTTGACCATCTGATATTCGTAATGCAGAATCCCTGAGTATTGTGAAATCGTCTCTTAAAATGTACTTTTTATTTAGGGTAGCATTGATTTGATTTATACTTGATTTTTAGGTATAGTACTATTGTTACTATTTTATGTGTGTATATATATATATATATATATATATATATATATATATATATATATATATATATATATATATATATATATATATATATATATATATATATATATATATATATATATATTTTTTTTTTTTTTATATATATATATTTTAGATATAATTTTTATTTTTTGCTTTTATCCTTGTATCTTGTACTGCTGCACATTTTATATGTTTGTAAAGTGTTTTGAGATGCTACTTTTAAAGGCGTTATATAAAACTAAGTTTATTATTATAGTTAATATTATTATATATTATTTACTATATTATTATTATATATTATTATTATATTATTATTTATAACACATTTACACATTTATTTCTCTCTTTATTTGCAATATTGTGAATGGCGACGCAGTTTCTCTCTGCCTTTGCCATTTTGTAATCTCACTAGGAAACGCAGTGGCCAATCAAATGCAGCTTAAAATGTGCATATTAATGATTCTATGTGCAACATAACAGTCAGCGTTTTGTTCTGATTGTTTTTTTTTTTTTTGCACCAGTATTTTACACTTACAGGATTTATATGAAAACAAAAAAACAGTGGCATTTGAGGCTTAAAGTATGCCATTTCCATTTACTGAACTCTTTTTACTCTGCTATGCTTAGGTTTATCAGGATTTTATATGGACCTTTAACAATGCTATTCCTATTATTACAAGACCTCTTCTGTAGCAATTGAAACACTAACACTGACTTCACACAAATCCTTATTACCTAAATTGTAATTGATGCATTGTTTCTACAGTTGCATAATCTTGTGCCAGTATAGATACGTAATTTACCATTTAAAATAGATTGTCGACTGTATTTTGACTGTCAGGAAAAACCATTCTATGCTTTAATATCTCAGGTCAGCAGTTCCTGATGTTTTAGTATGCAATAACATTAGGATATTAGAAAAATAAGTTACAGTTTGTAATGAGTCTTTTCTTTTGCCAGGTTTGAGTTTCAGTGGCCTGTTAATGGAAGATGGCCATTGTGCCCTGTTTGAGAAACTCATTAATAGTCAGATTTCTGGGTACCACTCAAAACCACTGGCATTTGTCTCATCCCAAATTTGCGCCAAATGAGCCCAAATGTGATTAATTGCTTTTTCCTTCCTTGGCCGTGTGATGGTCTGCTGAATCCTCATCTCATCTCTGCATTTCCACAGTAACTTTGACCAGCTTTCCTTCCACCCCTCCCCCTTCCATTACCCCTCTTCTTCCATTTTTGTAACATAATTAGCTTTCATTTTTGAACTGCACTGGGAATTTCTAATGCTAATCTCTCTGTCCTAGACCTCTTAACTTCTTTAAACCTCTTTTCCTACCAATTGAGAAGTACTGGGGTTAAAACAGTGCTTGCCTACCTCATTATCAACACTTTGAATTGAGCTTCACTTGTGCTATAAATCTCTATTAAAACCTGCATTTGCATGGTGCACAGACAGAACATAAGTTCTCTATCTAGAAAGATTCAAGTGATTTCCCCCAACATGGCAATTAATTGCCTCCCACAGCTCAGGGTTATTTTTTGAGATATCAGCGTTGAGTCGACACAACCAGTTAGTGTGTTAGTGATAGGAGTGCATTATCGCAATATCAGAGATGGTTGAGGCATAACTGTGGGCAAAATTGAATCTTTGCACTGAGCATAGAACAGTCCTTAAAATGGTAGTTTACTTGTAAGTGTGCAATAATGTATTAAGCACTCGTGCCGATTTAGTCTTTTAACAGAAATATAGAAATATGTCAAAAAACAGGAGAGATTTCTATAAAAACTAATTTTCAAAAAAAAAAAAAAAAAAACATCACAAACAAGTATCCATATAAACCAAGAAGTGTATTTTCTATATCTTGTTGGATCTTTTATTATTATTATTATTATTATTATTATTATTATTTATTCAGCTATTTACAGTCCTGGACAAAATGTCTGCTCACGCAATCTGCTTGTGTGAAATAAACTGAGATATGTGCACTGTATGTGAGACATAGTGGCAAGTGAACATCTAAAGCATACTTTTAGCTTCATCATGTCCCGCTGACACGTCACAGCGCAGCGCTGCTAATTCTTTGGACATGTAACCTGTATCCAACTTGCAAGCGTTTAGCACTATGGGACAAAACTCCTGTGACATGCTTTCCCATCTCTGTATCACACTAACTGCTGACCCCATTACAGAAACTATTAATGAAATCTAACACGCAGTGCTTTAAGCACTCATACCCAGATTGCTTTTGACTAACGGCTGTCTCTCACTATCACTTGTGTGGCTCTTTAAACAGAAAGTGACGGCAGAAGAGCAGGAGATAAACAAGCGAGTCCAGCAGTTGCGTGGCAGTGAAGAGGAGTGCACTCTAATGAAGAAAGAACTGGCAGCTCTGCAGCACAGACTGGGGAATAAGAGTCGACAACTTAAGGTTTGGACAAATTTCCACTGGCACCACTTTTAAAGCGCTGCCTCTGCGCCTGTGACAACGGGAAGAGAGGGAGGAAAAAAAACTGACAAGCCCCTGGAGGCAATCGCCTAAGGCCCTCAAAATCCCGGGTCGGGGGCAGAGGGTGGCGGGGGTGGGGGTTTGTGCTAGTGACAGTGGAGCTTGGAAAAGCAGCTAACTTTCTCAATAAATACTTAATGATGGCCGAGCTGAAGGAAAGTGTATGTGTATGTGATGTGGCTTCTCCTTAATTACCTTCTGATGGGACTGGCATGATTAATTGATAAAGTGAAGATCTGGGGAGGATGTGTCTTTGCTGGGTCTCTCTTAGCAAAGGGAGGGAAGGATAGTGCGGGCAAAAAAAAAAAGAAAGAAAGAGAGAAAGGAGCGAGAGATCAGCATCAAAGGCAGGCTGGTAGGACTAATGGGCCTGTAGTGGAGCTATTCTCATTAGAGCTGTCATTAGAGCTAAAGATGGCCCCAGTGCCGGGCTACCTGCGTGGGCTTCAGCTCGCCCTGCCAACGCAGGTGAGCTCCAGACTTCTCTCTCTGGCCCTGCCCGCTCCGCTGCCCTTTCATCCCGGCGCCGCGGCCATCTCTCGCTCTCTCTTTTTCCCGGCAGGAAGCGAGGAGGCAAGCGCAGGAGTGTGAGGAGGAGGGCAGGCGTGCCCTACAGGAAGCCAGGCAACAATTAGATGCTCAGCACTCGGCCTCTCAGGCAGAGCTGGAGAGATTGCGGGACCAAGAGGCCGTCAGCAGTTCCAGAGTCAAGGTAAGGTCCCCCGCTTCTTCTCTCTAAGCGGGTTCATGTAAATGAACTTGTCTCACAATGCACAAATGTTAAATATTGATAGATATGTTCAGAGGGGGGGCGAAATAATGACTTGCTGGGTTAACATGGTGGGCCCAATTTTTCCTTTCCCCATGCAACAGCGGCAGTGTACCCTGTGCATCGTGACCAGAGGTGTTTTACATGTGGCCCCGAATCAGCCCTGCCTGCTGTCGCGGTGCTTAGTGACTCCGGCTATAATGACCTACTACAGACGGAGCTGTTGTTAGCATGTTCCATAGGGCCTCGTTCGGCATTTGTGTATGTTTAATAGGGCTTGTGTCCTCTTGGGTTGAGTGTCACTCAAGCACCTGTGTGATTACCTGCTTTACATACAGATTTGTGTTCATTACTCTCCGTGGGGAAGGGCAGAGGCAGGTCTGTGCGGACCTTAAACTCTAACTAGTCCAATTAAATTAGACTGTAGTGGTGCTCGGACTCTGTCCCCTTTCCTCCTGCGTTCTCTGTCTCTCTCTGTGCCCCTGTCAGCGCTGGCTAGTTTTTAATGAGGACTGGCCGTGCTCTCCATGGCCTGAGCGTTTGATGCTCGGCATCTGTTTGCTTCTCATTATCTCCATCAGCTCCTGTGATATGCTGCTGATAGGCTTCCCGCTTTAGTTGCTTGTGTTTTATTTCTCTTCTGTTGTCTTTCTTTTGTTTCTTATTAGTTTGTGCCCCCTGTAAGATGGGTCCATATAAAATAAAGAAAACAAAAAATCAAAGTTTGTGTGCAATAAATGTGCTTAACAAATATAATCTTGAGAAACAATACATCGTTAGAAAGGTCAAACCATTTATTCATCTCATATTTTGTTACACATATCTAATAATAGCAGCAAACATACAGAATTCAAAATGGGGAATAAGGTAGACTGTTTAGATAAAAAATTTCTTTAATACACGATTCAGGAAATGTAAAAAGGCATAAAACTGTATATGTTGTGCAAAACAATCAGTCTAAAATTAAAATCCTGTCATCATTTACTCACCCTTCTCTTGTTCAGAACCTATTTAAGTTTCATTCTTCTATTGAACACAAAAGAAGATATTTGGAAAAATGCTGGTTGCTCGGACCCATTGACTTCCATAGTCTTTTTCTTTCCCTCGAAATCTATTTTGTGTTCAACGGGAAAAAAAATCTCATAGAGGTTTAAAACCACATAAATGTTGTAAATTATCTAATCTAAAATGTGTTTTGATGGTAAGCTAAAATGCAACCAACCATAGCACAGGTTATTCATTCATTCGTCCATTTTCCTTCGGCTTAGTCCTTTTATTCGTCAGGGGTTGCCACATTGGAATGAACCGCCAACTCATCTAGCATATGTTTTAGGCAGCAGATGCTATTCCAGCTGCAACTCAGTTCTGGGAAACACCCATACATTCTCACATTTACACAAATACACTACTGCCAATTTAGCTTACCCAATTCTCCTTTACCGGAAGATCTTTGGACTGTGGGGGAAAACGGAGCACCCGGAGGAAACCCACGCCAACACTATGAGAACATGCAAACTCTACACAGAAATGCCAACTGACCCAGCTGGGACTTGAACCAGCGACATTCTTGCGGTGAGGCGACAGTGACAGGTTATTGTGTTATTACAATTTTGTAGTAAGTAAATAAGTGTAAAATTGCTCAAATAAATAGATAGTAAATATTTACTGGCATATCTCATTTAGAGAGGTGAATGTGAGCAGATAGAGACACAACTTGAACGGGGCAATTTGCAGCAGTTGAACAATCAAAAGTTGCCAGTTTAAGAACACATGAAATCTGTGTAAAAACAAATCATCAACAAAAAAATTATTCGCCAGAACTTTTATTCTACTTAAATTTCTGAAAAAAATATAGGCTGAAACGTATTATAATTAATGTAAAGAATTATATTTTAAAGGGGTGGTCCACTATGATACCATATTTTAAACTTTAGTTCATGTGTAATGTAGCTGTGTGAACATAAACAACATCTCTGAATGTAATACGCTCAAAGTTCAATGCAAAGGAAGACATTGGCTTTTACAGAGTTAGCTTAGCAAAGCCTACAGCGAAAAAAATTTGGGGACTACAAAAAAATACGTCCTGGCTAGTGAGATCAAAAACACTTCAGGTTACACACATTAATCCACGCACATACACTCCGCGCAGCGAAAGGGCATGACCAGTGGGGATTTAATGTTATAGCAGATAAAGCTAACACTGCTATTTCCACAGAGCTTGTTCTGTTTCTGTATTTGACACAAAGACAGAAGTGTTTACAATTGAATTTTATTTATGTTCCAGGTAATTATAAAAAAATTATAGTTTTGTCATTTGACAAAGGGGAAAATCTCTCCCAGTTCAGTGCTGGATTTGGCTAAAACTCCTGTTTTTGACAAAGCTGTGGATTGTGAGCCACAACCTGTAAGTATTTTTATTTAAAAGTTAAAGGGCCATAAAAACCCCCTCGTTTCAGCAGGGTGTTCTCACACCTCTATTTTGGAAAAAGCCAGAAAAGTGGGCTTGTCCAGCTCTGTTTAGGGGAGAGTGTCGGAGAAGCAAAAGAGGGATGGTGTGGGAGTGTCTATTTGACCACGCGCTGAGTTTCAGAGTCAAAACGCACACACACACACACACAAACACACACAGGGGAGAAAGTGACTGTGTTTACATGGACATCTGTAATCAAATTATTAAATGGTCGGACTTAAACTGCAGTTTGGCACTTTCATACAGGGAATTCATTCGTGCCCCTCGTGACAAACGAGATATTTGATTCGAGGATCTGCTGTAAGTGTGTATTTTTCATGCAATGTTTGATACGACACGGCGAATGAGAGAAAAAAATTAACTCTACATTTCTCTGTAACTTAGATGCACTCGGCGGGTGAGCCGCGTGTGTTATTCCGGTCCCAAAATGCTGTGAAAATCCTACACTTGGTGCAATAGTTAGTTCGATACTTACCAAATCTGTAGAGACAGGACAATCCACAGCAACTAGAATCGCGTCTTTATTAAGAGGAGAAGAGAAGCGAATCTGGATCTCCATTTGCAGAAGAGAAAGTCTCGGGTAAACAATGTTCCTTAGACACGTAAGTTATTGTTGTCACGCGTCGCATCGCATACACTGTAATCCACGCGTGATTCCAGCTGCGCTCTCACAGAGAGAAAATGAAAACAAAACTTCACTTCAACAAATTAGGAAAGCAACACTGCACGCTTGTTTTGCCAACACAATATGGTGTCTTTGCTGTGTTGCCGTCTACACTGTAACATTAATGAATATTAATGAAGTTGCACAATAGAGCACGCTGATTGGTTTGAATCAAGTCTTACTCATGCATTAATGCAGCACACTCAGACACGTAATACGGTACACCCAGGTACAGTCGCCCAGTCTACACGCTGGAATACACACTATGATCTCATGGCCGTGACGCAGCTTCAAAAATTCGTATGAAGTATGAACTTGCTCGAAATAATGCAAAAACTACCAATTTTCACTTTTTAGTGAGATATATGTGTCCTAATAGTGTTTTTAACAGTGTGGGACACATGTACGACTGTCAACAGCTCAAAAAATTTGTTTCGGTGTTTCGTGACCCTTTAAGATTGATCTATTACATGCACAGTTTCTAGCATTAACAAAATGTTGTAGTGAGGACAAAAACAAGGATGCTGTTTGGCACCACTAACTATTTAGCTACAAATTCATATTTATCAGTTACTGCTGTAAACACCCACAATCTTCAGCAGTGCATGCAGTGTCTTTCTATGCGGATGCATTCAGTGTCTTTCTGTGCGGCCACTTTCCCTGCGTTTTACATCTCAAATAACAAACTTGCAAAAGATATGAGAACATTTCATATTACTTACAGATGCTTATTCCGGTCATATGGGAATACACTTGTCAGATTTTATTTTGAAGAGCAGACATGAGGTTCAGTTGTGTGCTCTTCATTTTCTGTCTGATTTAGGAATCTAATGCTACTAACAGCTGCTCTAACTGACTGTTCATACAGCGCAAAAGCGCATGCTTGTAGGGGCATGACAGAGCCAATTAGGGAATCACAGCACATTATGTTAGATGACCAATCAAGGCCTCTTGAGGGCGGGCCTTTCAGAGGAACTAGAAAATATGACAGCCGTTTTCACACATTGCTTTGTATTTTAGGGCGTGCACACACTATGTACAGTTGCCTTGAAGTGGGCTTGTCCCCCCTCCCATCTCCCACTGATGGCCCGCACACACATTACTTTCGGGCCTGGTCACATCTTGTCTTCAGTTTGAGGCGCGCTTTGCACTCACACTATAAGTGTACTGCCTGAGCCTAAGTGAACAGTGCTCTGGCACACCTTTTCCAACCGGGCCAGGGCTGGCCAAGTGAACCGCGCCTGAGCCCGATTCAGAGCACTCACACTTCTCAAACAATCCGGGAAATGGGCCTAGCCACGGTTCGGATAGCATAGTGTGAGTACGCCCTTATACAGTATACACAACCAAGCCTTAAAAATACACTGTGGATCACCCCTTTGAAGTATCATGATTCATTTTGTATGTGTTATATATACAAATAATTTAATACTATGTTATATTAGTACATTATTTGTTCAAATGTTGTTTGAGAATAACACGATTTCAGGAACTGATGAGAGCATGTCTGTAGAGAGCAGCAAAAAAGTTTTGTTATGGAGATGGTTGTGGATGGCTTTTATGCAGTCTTGTGCACATGGCTGCTCATTTTGAATACTCCAAAATCACTGACATTAGAATGAGCTTAAGAATCCCTAATCTAGTGTATTAGCTTACATTTTTCTGAGACGTTTGGATGTGTGTACAAATGTGAATCGTCATGAACAAGACCCTCTGTTTCGACTGAGAACAGCTTGTATTAAACACATAAGAAAAGCTTAAACAGTAATAGCCCCTGGTTTTTAGACATCATTTTCACCATTCATTAAAGATGAAGCAGGTGATCCAAAACGTCACTATAGATGTAAGGGGTAGGACTTTGATATTTTTTTTAGAAATGCTTTAAAAACTTTTTTTAAATCTTGAGTTTTATATTCATCAATTTCTTGCACCCTATATTTTACTACCCACACAAACTAAGCATTGATGCAAAATGTTGACTTTAATATGAACAGTATATCTTCAGGGGTACTTTCTGTGATGTAATTTCATGTTCTTTGTTTTCCTTGCTATGCCGCCTCTTTAAATCTTTGTCCTTCATATCACATAATTTTGATATGGCAGCTTGAGGATTTAAATGTGTTAATGAGAAGTGAAAAAGTATAATAAAAAACATGGATGGAACAGCTTTAGGGACTTTCATGATAATTTTTTAATAATAAATTTCAATTCAGAAATTTAAAAAAGTAATCAGAGAAGCATGTTTAATGTGTTTGTATGTGTTTCTAATGGATTTAAAAATAATGAGTAGACTGTAAAACAAATGTCATGTCATTGACTGTGCTGCCAATAAATATTCAATGTCTTGTTTCAGAATTTGGAAGAGGAAGTGTTCAGAAGCAGACAGGATTTGCTAGAGGCTCAGAGCCGCTCAACTGCTTTGTCCCTTCAGCTATCCTCAGTAGAACGAGAAAGAGCTGACAACGAACAACAACTCTGTCAAATCAAGTAAGTAGAGGCTGCACAGATCTGGCTGAGTTTTGATTAACCCTGATCATATGAGTTTATTGTGATTCTTGTTTCATGTGCATATCCAGCTGTGCCCTACACTCTCAGAAAAAAAATGGCGCAATGTTGTCCTAAAGAAGGTACAAACCCTTGTACTGGGGCAGTACCTTTTTATGGAACAGAATTATACCTTGAGACAAAGAAACAAATTTGTACCATTGCAGTTTGTACATTTAAGGACATGATTTTTAGCATGGGAAACCAAAATGTACCTTTGGTTTTTAAAACCTGCAGATACAATATTGTATCTTCATCAAAGGTACAAATCTAATCCATGAAGGAAGCACTACAGTGACAGGACACTTTGTACCTTAACATTGTCAAATGTTTGCTATATCAAAAATGTGTCAATTTATTTACAGTAAATATAAAACATCAAATATAACAAACAATGAAACATTGCTCTTTTTGTTTTTTTAAGTTTCAATGTAAGTAAGTTTATTACTGTGTAAATACACCTTTTCCATTTACGATAAAAAATACTTTAAAATAAACCTAAAGATATTTTTTGCTATATTCTCCCATGTACAATATAAAGGATTTTTTTCTCTAGTTTTCACACAATCCCTTTGTAATCACTTAAAAGTAAAAAAAAAAAGTGCAAAAGTATAGCAACGAGATATGCACAATGTTTGACTAGTTTTACTGTAGTAGAATGTCTCCATGAACACTTACAAGTATATGCAGGACTTTTGCCATCTCACGTGTGTAGTGGAAAGCAAACACCAAAAGTTGCAGATATCAATAATGAAAATGTATTTATCAGACAAGGCTTAGCAAATGTTTATTTAAAAAACGCCTTAAAGGTTTGGTTTACAATACCTATAGTTTTGTTTTACCAGTTGTTTTGTATTATATTGTAGTTCTTAATAATTCATGTTTATGAGTTTCTTTAAACATATGCTTTTTAAACGATGATTCATGTTTTAATATGGAAATTATTCATAAAATCACTTTGCCTTTCCACTAATATTTATTTTCATAGGTATTGTAATAAAGAAGGAGTTGTTTAACACTTTTGATTTATACGAGAACAATTGTGTACCTTCATTTCAATTGTACCATAAAAGGTACAGAACATTAACATAAGAGGTCTTTTCTGTACCTTAAAAAGTACAACTTTTACAAAGGTACTAAACTGTTGCTTAAGTAACATAATTTGTACCACCGTGTACCTTTTTTTTCTAAGAGTGTAGACTTCCAAAGCCTGAATGTCCACATATGAATAGTAGTTTGTCTATGGGGACAAAATTCCATTATGTTATCAATAAAAATGTGGCATCTGTAATGGTTAGGGGTAGTGTTTTTTATGGATCACTGTCACAATATTACAGTTAGAATTAGTTTAGTTGTGTTTTTAGTTGTTTGTTATTATAGTACAGACAAACCAAGGCAAGTTTTTTTATTTTATTAAATTGGACATTATAATTCATAGTGTTTTTTCTTAAAAAAGGTGCAAAATTTGTTGAGGAGAAAAATCAACAGAGTAAACATGATTAAAAACATTACACATGTTTTCACAAGAATTCATGTATATAGCTTTATTCTTTGCTTTATTTCTGTTCACTTTTTCAAGCAACACTATTGGTTTTAGTTTTAGGTTAGTGGAATAACCTTGGGTATGGCTTGGGGATCGAATATACTTACGCAGTTAAAAATTCATTATCCCTGTGTGTACTCTGTATGTGGTCTGTGTGTGAAGATTGTGAGGACCAAAGCCACCACGAGAACAGTATGACAATTTTTGATATGGGATGGAATTTTGGTCCCATTAGTTTGGTCCCCTTACTTATTAGTACTGTACGTTTTTCTCTCTCTAAGGCATATGCATAGAATGTAAAGTTAGCACAAAACAATGTGTATGAACAGTAAAACCCAAAAAGTCATGTGCGCATGTGTCCAGGCGTGAGCTCCAGGACCTGCAGTGTCTGTACAAGCAGAGCGTAGAACATGCAGGAGAACAGGCCCATCTTATTCAGCAGCTGGAGGGTCTTAACCTGGACACGCAAAGAGTCCTGCGCAGCCAGGAGGAGGCCCACACAGCGGACACCGTCTCTTACCAGAAGGTACAGGCACGCATCTGTTGTGTGAACTTAGCGCCTGTCCTCACAAGTGAACGCGCTGCCCCTCGGGGGGTGAACTTGTGTTGGAGCAAGGACTTAACTGCATTAACCGAGCTTGTCCTTCACTGTCTGTTTCTGCTGTGACAGCTCTACAGCGAGCTGAGCGTGTCATACCAGGCCCTTTGGCACAGCCAGGAACAGCTCCACCAGCGGGAAGCAGCCCTCAGCATGCAGCTCAGCCAGAGAGATCAGCAGATCCAAGAACTCCAGGCACAGCTGCAGAGTTTCACAGCAGCCGCGGGGCACTGTGAGGTGAGTGCGTGTGGGGAGCACCATGACAGATTTACATCACGCTCAATGCCCTTTGTATGCAAAGCAAGCTGAATGAGCACTTCAGCAAAACCACACACCGTTCATTTCCTTTTTTCTCCTCTTAGTAAAACCACATCCATAATAAATGAAATGCCTTTCAGTAAGAAAGCTCTGGGAAGAGATGGTCAGGAGTTTTTGTCCACTGTTCTTTTTCAAAAGCAAATGTCCAAAGCATGTGCCATTAACCCTGCTAAAACCATGCCAGATTGACTCTTAACTACGCATGTAATCAGTTAATGTGTATTTGTAAACAATGTTAATAATGATATAGACTTCAATCTATGGTTTATAAAAGTCTTTCATATGGTCACCGAGGCTGTGTTTGTTTAACCATAAGCGATGCTGTGAAATACTGTTACAGTTTCAAAAAGCTTTTTTCCATTCTTACAGTTATTCCTGTAACGGCAAAGCTAAATAATCAGCAACCATCACTTCAAACTTCAAGTAATGTGCTGATTTTGTGCTCAATAAACAGTTATTTATTAGTACTGAGTAATTTGCATGAAATAATGATACACTTTAAAAAAAAAAATTGTATCCTGTTTTTGAAGTCACTTTTAGGTGTTTTCTATAGTAGGTAGGTAGAAAAACTAACCTCATCTTCATACACATTTTGGCTCTATTTTTTCAGTTTAAATTAGATTATAATCACAATTTTCTTTCGTCACAATTTAACTCCGTCAATGATGTAAACTACTAAAATATTACGCTTAGTTTTTATTAGAATTTAGGATAATTTATTTTGTTTCATTTTTAACACTTTTTTAAATAATGCTGTTCTTTAGTGAACAACAGTAAAGTAATGCAATGTGACATTGTAGATAAGCTGCTGTATTTATAACTTTCCGTAGTTTATGAGATCTTTGTGAAATTCGATTGTTGAGAATTGTCTTATGACATTGATATTTAGTTTGGGCGATAACTAGTGCCAGACAGAATCTGCAAACATTTTTTGCTATTTCTGCACAGAATTTTGAAAAAAATTCTGCAGATTTATACAGGTTTGATTTTAGGGGGAATCGTAACTAAAAACTTAAAAATAAAAAATCATATGAACATTTTCATATTAATCAATAATATTACTGAAATTAATTCACAAACTGAATAAATATACAGTTAAAGGCAGAATTATTTAACCCCCTTTGACATTTTTTTGTCTTTTTTTTTTTTTTTAAATATTTCCCAAATGATGTTTAACAGAGCTAGGAAATTTTCACAGTATGTCTGATGATATTTTTTCTTCTGGAGAAAGTCTTATTAGTTTTTTTTTCGAATATAATAAAAGTTTTTAATTTTTCAAAATACATTTTAAGGTCAACATTATTAGCCCCTTTAAGCTATATTTATATATATTTTTTATAATAGTCTACAGAACAAACCATCGTTACACAATAACTTGCCTAATTACCCTAACCTGTCTAGTTTACCTAATTAACCTAGTTAAGCCTTTAAATGTCAGTTTAAACTGTATAGAAGTGTCTTGAAAAATATCTAGTAAAATATTATGTATTGTCATCATGGCAAAGATAAAATAAATCAGTTATTAGAAAGGAGTTATTAAAACTATTATTTTTTAGAAACGTGTTCTCTCCGTTAAAAAGAAATTGGGGAAAAAATAAACAGCGTGGCTAATAATTCAGGGGGGCTAATAATTCTGACTTCAACTATAAATGTACACACATTTACACAAACAAATGAATAGACTTGATGGGCTAAAATCTGCGGATGCGTGTTTAGCAAACTATAACTAATGGTATATGAGGAATGAATGATTGCATTCACTTGGACTTTCTATTGAACTGGTGCACCTTTTGCTTGTTTTTTGGGTGTGTATGTTGATTGTGTTGTTTTTAGTTTTAATTTAGCTCAAATTGGTACAGTTTAAATAGCAGACATTATCGTTAGCTTATTGTATTACATATTATAGCTTACTTGTATTAAATTTTTTCATAGATCAACTCCAGGTTGCGTGCTTTTTTTGTACTTTTTTTTTTGGTTGCAAATCAACCACTAGAAATTGATGACCATCTTTTAGAACGAGTCCCTGACCAGAATGTATCAATCCACACTTTATGAGCTTTAGAAAATGGCTGCATGGGGATGGAGCTCTAGCAGTTTTGTAGCAATAATGCAGAACGTTGCTGGAAATTTTGCTCGAGCATTAGCAAACGGTTCAGTTAGCAAGTACAACTATGCAAAAGTCCCACAGAAAGCATTTCTCCAAAAGTGCTGTTGTAGATTCAGCCAGATATGTGTTGTCTCTGTTTATACACGTGTACCTCACCGTATGGAGGCACATCTCGTGATTTTGGGTATGCACGATAATCAATGCATGCTTTATGCACAGTTCCAATGTATTGCTTTGAATATCAAGTTGTGTTTACTGAGTTCATGTAGTGGTTGCCTGGCTGTTTTGTTTCTTAACAGTTTTACCTACAGACATCAAAGTGATCTGATCAGTTATCCCAAGGTGTAACACAGTCAAGAGGGCTTTCCATTCCCCGCTATAATTGCACTGACTGGGATGTGTATTCTAGTGTAATCTGAAATTCTGTATCAGCTTCTTCCTGAACACCTGTTAAATTCTAATGCACTGGTTGTTAGAGCTTTATTTTAATTTTAAATGTTAGGAATGATCAAAGTGCTGATCAGCAGAGGGAGCTGAGCAAGACCAGACTCTCATTTGAATAAAGGAGGAGTGATGGAGGAAGAAAAGTCCAAGCGGAACAAAAAAAAAAGAAAAAAAGAAAAAGCCCATTGTGTTGGGGCTAAAGAAGTGCACAAAGGCCAGTGCAGGCTGAAATCATGTATTTCTGTATTAGAAATATGGATGTGACCTGTCCTAAATAAATAATGCACATTTCAAATATTTAATTCAAACCTGGTCACAGTGGGATTAAGCAATAAAAATTTGATTTTGAAACAAAGTATTAGCCCATAAACATTTATTTCAAAGGCAGTCTTTGGTGCATTTTCTTATGAGCTGTGCTTTTCTTATGACCAATACTACTAAAAACATGTTCTTGATTTGTATTATTGTGTAATTATTAATACAGATAGCAGGAAAGAAAATAATAGAATTTCAGTCTTAATTAGTAAGGTCTAATGGCATGATAAAAGTATCAGGATGTTGTATCACCATAAAAAGGCTAATTTTGAGATAATAATCTGTTGAAATAATTCAATTAAGTGAGAAGAAAAAGACCATTAAGTGATATCAGAGGCATGAAACTAGCACAGACACCCTGTAAAAAACAAATGTTGTACATAAAGAGCATTGGACTAGAAAATAGTTTGTGTAATATATATATATATATATATATATATCAAAATGATGCTGCTGATCAGAATCGTGCTTTCAGAGACGGAAATGATTTTTTTCATGCTTTAAAAAGCCATCAATATCTAAGTTTTTTACACAGAGGCAATTATTATGTTGTTTATAAATGATGCTAATGTATTATTATTTGTAAGCCCTATAATATCAAGCATCGTTTTAGTTTTTCCTCTTATTAAAAATGCTGAAACTGCAGATTTAACAGGGTGGTATCCAGTTGTAATCTGTGAACTTTGACTGGGCCACTGTGTGGCTTTTATGGGATGTTTCAAGTCATTGTTCTTTGGAAGTAAATCCCAGTGATCTTACCGATTGCACTATTTTCCCTCAGGATTTTTCAGTGCTTTGCTATTTCTATTTTTCCTTTCATCTCTTGCTTTCCTGTGGCAGTCTGGCCGTGCGGTGACGTGACCCAGGTTGTCACTATGGTGCTTCTGCCTTTCTCTGATCTAAATCAGTATTTAAGCCTTGTAGGTTCTTCCTTTCTAGTCAAAAGCCATTGAAAACCAAGTCCAGAATTGGCCTCCTGAGGATTACACAGGAAGTGTTGCATCTTGCAGTCTATTAGCAACGCATTTAACACTCCATGTGGCATCCCCTGTCTCAACAAGGGGATTTATTGCAGCTTCGTGCAGTTGCCTATGCAATCTCTAGCTACTACACGGAGTGACAAAGTTTTATTATGAATACTGACAAGAACTGTTAGAAATGCGTAGCTTCTCACATCTCAGCGTGAGCGTTTGTTGCTCCTCTAGGATCAACAACTGGCAAATTGATCTCGCGGTGTAGATTGATTGGACATGCAGATTTTTATTAACTTGTTTCGAGTGAAGTCGTTGATTAATCTCGGAATTAATTAACACTGCTATTTTTTTTTTCTTTTTCTGTGTTTAACTCGATTTTATAGACGGCCAAAGACATTTAGTGATCACTTAATCAGCTTTATCACCTATCGAAGTATTTATTTAATAGGTGGAATGTTATGAATTTAATTAAAGTTTGAGATTGCGAGAAACCTCCCAAGTGATGAAATTTCAATGTCTCGCTCCCCATTTCTCCCTATTCCAGAGCCCAGACGCTCCTCTCAACATCTGCCTCTGCGTGTTATTAGTGTTAGTGAAAGCCGAGCTGTCAGATGTATAATTGAAGTGTCCGCTCCCTGCACACACGGCTTGTTATGTGGGGTCATGTTTAGATGAGTAGATGTGTTTCTTTTGATCACTATCTGACGCTCAAACCCTGAGCTTCCAGCATACTGAGAGGCTGCCGATGTGTTTGGCTTTAAATCTTTAGGAGCCAATGCCTCCATCACTGTGGGTTGCCTCGCCAGTTTGTTTCACTCAACTTGTTTGGATAACATTAACGGGATGATGTCTCATCAGGCCTATTGTACGTCTACAGCAAGTGTTTCCTCAGAGTGCATCTTTTGTGTCTTTAAAGGGTTAGTTCACCACAAAATCAAAACTTTTGTTCATCTTCTGAACATAAATAAAGATTTTTTTAGGAAATCTGATAGATTGCTAATCTCCACTGAATGTCTTTTCAAACAACAATCTCCAAACATATAGGGATCAAATCCATTTTTGTTTATTAAAGTCTTCTA